CCACATCATCTAAGCAACCGAGCCAGATCCCCAGCCTCCTGTATGACCTCCTGAGAACAATGTCATCACCCCAGCTGAATGTCTTTCCAGACACAGACAGGTGGCTGGTAGATTCTTGTCCCCTACTTTCTTTCCCTGTCTCCAGCTTCACTCTTAACTTCCAGTGTTACTCCCCAAGTTGGTCTGGCTTTCTAGGGCGCTTGGGCTAAGGTGAAACGCAAGGCTCCTTTAGCCTTTACCTGGACCTCAGTGGTACCCCACAATCAGACTTCTGTTTCTGCATTCAGAGAGGCTGCAGGGATCCCAGTGTTTGATTCAGGCACACTGCAAGGCTGGTGCGAAGACAGCACTTGCAGATGACGCTGAGGTTAGCCTGGGGTTAGTCGAAGGCCTGGAGACTCTGAAAGGCAGGGCTGTAAGGGAGGGCTATCGGGAATGAGGAGGACAAGGCTTCCCTGGCAAGTGTCTTCTGGCCTGCCAAGAGCAAAGTTTGGTAGGGCACAGAAGGGGACGGTGAGTTTTGGTGTGGCAGGCACCGGTGTTCTAGATAGGGATGGTAAAATGGAGGTCTCCACAGAGTAGCAGTCTGAAGTTGCTCTCAACAAAAGCATGGGGAGATGGCTGGCAAGACGGCTGTGTGAATAAAGCTGCCTGCTATCAGCTGATACCTGATTTGATCCCCAGGACCACAGTGGAAGGAGAACACTGACTCTCTCAAGTTGTCCTCTGACCTCCACATAAGCACTGTGCCTTTTGTTTGCACCCCGCCCCTACTCACACACAACCCATGCTAATCTTTTTAAACAATGAGCATATGTAAGTACTAGGTGTCTCAAAACTGTCACTGTTATTCCTTAATCTTTCTTTCTTTCTTTTTTTTGAGACAGAGTTTCCTATAGCCCAGGCTGAACTTGAACTCCCTAAATATTCAAAGTTGACCAATCTGATCTTCTTGCCTCTGTTTTCTAAGTGCTGGAGTCACAGGTGGGCCCAGTTGGTGAGGGCGCTGGGGTGGAGCCCAGGGCTTCATGAGTGCTGGGCGAGCACTCTACCAACTGTAGCTTCAGCCTTTTGAAGGACCAAAGGGCAATGCAGAGGGCACCGAGAACCTGACTATGCCATTTGTTTCTTATTAGGAATGCTTGTGCTACAATGCATATTGGTATGAGTGGCATTAAAAAAAATGGCCTCTTCCTAGAGGCTTACAGGTGCTGTATGTAACAAAGGCTCAAACTCACATGTTGGCCAGAGGACCTGATGTCTTAGTTATTTCTCCATTGCTGTGACAAAGCACCCTGACCAAGGTGACTTCGACAGGCAAGCATCTCGTTAGGCTTTCAGCTTTAGGGGGCTGGAGTCCGCAAGGCAGGGCAAAGGCGTGGCTGTAGGAGCAGCTGAGAGCGCACGCTGATCTGAAAGCTGGAGCCAGAGACAGACACTGGGGATGGAGAATCTTTGAAAGCTCAAATCCCATCCCCACTGACACACCTTTTACAAAAAGGCCACAACTCCTCAAACAAGGTCACACACCTCCTAATCCTTCCCAAATAGTTCCCCCAACCTGTGCCCAACATCCAAACATCTACACTTATGCGGCTTGTTTTCATTCAAACCACCACATTTGACCATGTGACCTTTTGAACCGCCCCCTTCCCCTAAACAGAAACCATTTCCACCTTGCTACACCCTGTGCCCTATAGAGGGCTTGACAGAGCAGTGTTTGGAGTGAGACCCAGTTAACGCCATCCCTTTCATTAGCTTGTAGAGGGAAAGCAATCACAACCAGCGGGGTGACTCCACTTGTCCAGAGACGCAAAGCAGGGGCCCACAGGCATCCCTATTTTCCAGCCAAGCCTCTTTCTTTAACCCGAGAGAGATCTGCGCTGCGTGACTGTTGCCAAGCTGTTAATGAGAATGAGGCCCAAATTAGTTTCTGAAAATGGGGTTTTTAACATTGGAAAGTTTTAAACTATGGAAATTGGAAATTTAATTGAGTTTATGTGATAGAAATTAGCGAGAAGAGAAAAAAAAAAGCCCCACATATTCTCGTCCTAGAAATCCGTGGCACCTCCCAGAGCCTCAGTTTCCCCTTTTTGTAAGGTCGAGCTAACCAATTGCTAAGGAGCCTTCCAAAGATGATCCTATACTTTTAGAGTGTGAAGTGGCAGGGAGGCCTGGCGATTAGAGGTGGAAGACTCCCACTGTGGCAGAGAGCAGCTGGCCCAGCAGACGGCCCTGGTAGGTTCCTCAGCTGCCCTGCCTAGGGAGTCCTCCTCCCAGAAGAAAAGCACGTGGACCACATTAGCTTGCAAGGCAGCACTGATTAGTAATTAAACGACTTCAAAAAAAAAAAAAAAAAAGAAGGCCATTAAAGCTAATGCCATCAAAATCAGAACCTCAGACGCTGGTTCATAATTACGAGTGTACCTTGGGAATCGCAGGAGAGGACATTTACATTTTAACATGCACACTGCACAGGCAATAACACCCCCCACCCCCCATCATCGGGAGACCTGCGGCTGAACTCATATGCTTGCCAACTTACTCTGATCCTAGGAAAGCGGGTCATCCTTCAAGAAAGCAACAAGGAGCCCTGAAAAGAGGCTTCCCCTGAGAGGGTCTTTGCTTTGATGCTCCTCCCTCTGTGGGCACATTATCTAATTGCCTCGGCAAAAATCACTATTCTCATCTTTAAAATGGGGGCAGAGCCATCTTCTAGGGTTATACTAAAGCTTCTGAGACAGTGTTCACTCCCTCTCGCCTTCCCTTCCTGAGATGGGATCCCAGTGCGTCCCAGGCTGACCTGGAATTTACCTGAACCCAAAGATGACCTTGACTTTCTGATACTCCAGCTTCTACCTCCCAAGGGCTGAGATCACACGTGAGCCTCGACATGCCAGGTTTAGGAAGCATTGGTGATCGAACCCAGGGAGCCTTGTGCATGCTAAAGGAGTGTTCTACCCCCTCAGCTACATCCCCAGACTGCCTTTCTTACTTTCTCCACCTGGCCGGGCATTTTTTTTTTTTTGAGACAGAATCACCCTATGTAGACCAGGCTAGCCTCTGACCTTGACCTCATGCCTCTGCCTCCTGAGTGCCGGGACTACAACAATGTGCCTCTTCTCCCAGCTCAGTCAGTGCGTAGCGTTTTTCTAAGTGTCGCAAACTGCTTAACATTGGGTAGGCAGTTGAACAAGCACCTTGGGCTGCTGGCCCTGCATGTGACATCTTTGGAGGTTGGGGAAGAGTCACTGTCTTTGCAAGGTAAGATGACCAAGCACACTGTCTCTGGGCTTATTCAAGCCAGGGGTTCAGTGAGGGACAGCCGCGGTCACTCTTCTTCTCTGGCTTCTGGTGCATAGTCTGTGGAAGGAAGGGTGGGGCAAGAGGAGCTTGGCCCTTCCAAGTCCTGACTCCAGTTCCATATAAACCTCTGCAGCTTCTGGAATCTTCAGAGAGTAAAAAAAGCACCTGCCCTTGCACATGGCCTCACCGAGACTTGGACCTCTCACCATTTCCCTAGAGACATCTTTGTCCAAGGGCTGAGAAACAAAAGTTAGGGAGCCTTTTTAAAATATAAAATATCAAGGCCAGACAGGCCATTTTCAGACAGTCCCTGAGGCCTAGTCAGCTATTAAAGATGGAAATTATATATTCATAACACAGGATATTGCTGCTTGCTTATTTATAACTTGCTCCATTTCAAGAATATTTATTCTAGACGAGGAGGCTTGATAATTTTCATCCAATCTACTCCTCGTAGCTTAGGGCGAAAGCCTGGGAACAGCTCAATTGAAGGAGCGGCTGTTGAGGTAGGTAGGGAAAGAACAGCTTGTTCCCCTTCTCTGGGAAGGAACGCCTGCTGCACGCTGCCAGCCTGCACCTCCCTCCCTCAGCACCAGCGCTGCCGGCTACACTCCTCTCACGTGACCAGGAATGGCAAACAGCGCAGATCCCAGCCTCTCTGCAATGCGTTTGCTGGTAGGACTGGGGGTGCACATACCCCCAGGTCTAGAGGTAGACTCCAGCATCCTCAGGCTAGCACAGATTAGTGGGAGGAACGGGAGCTATTGCATCCCTCCTCGGCGCGCATTTTTGGGCTCATGAGGGACCACCTGATGTAATGAAGCATTGTAGATCAGTCCTGTGCTGGGTGCTTGTAGGAATCAAGGGAATGGAGATGGGAACTTAAAGAAAGTGTCCCCCAGGAAGAGAAGGCAGAGGACAGTGTATCACCAGCTGGTTCTGCTGTTCCGAACACCCCCTGCCCCAAGACTCACCAGCCTTGCTCTCTTATACCCGAGGACAAGAAGGAGCTGGCCCAAGGTCACCAGCTGGTGAGGGCCAGCTCATGGATGGGACATCATGGTTAGATTGAGGAGCCAGGCTCTTTATGACCATCTCCTAGCCAAACCTCAAAACCTCAACAATTGAGGGTCCTTGTCCCATATTCTATGGCTGGCCATTCAAGTTTCTAGCCTGTGCCATCTAGAATGGACCTCTGTAGGGGGCCTTAATAGGAAAAAAACCAGGTTCTTAGGAGTCATGCCAAGATGTTAATAAGGGCTACAGGCCAACATGGCTCCAAGTCCAAAATCAAGGCAGCCTCTGACTTTCCCACAGCACTAGCACTGAACAGACAGGCATATGCTGCACACGTGTTACACACATGCTACAGGCATGAAGGACTGCCTTGCCTTTTCTGTCCATTCTCAATGAACAGACCACTAGCCCTGACCCAGCCTGCTGACTCACTGATCACGAAGACTTAAACAGAATTCCCGAGGCTGGGAAAGTGTGCATTGTCTCATTTACTCGACAAATATTTATTGAGCACCTATTACATAGCCAGCCCCAGGTAGACACACAGGTTACAGCACCGAAGGGCGAGCCAGACCAATTCAACCACTGCACTCCTGGAGGAGGGGAATGACGGGGGGAGGGGACGGGCTGGGCTTCTGAGAGGTCAGAACCTTGAGAAGTGTTCAGTTGGCCCAGGGGGAGGGAGTAGATGGGAGCAGGAAGAGCGCCTCAGAAGGGGCTCTCCAGTAGAGGTTGAGAGTGAAGGCTGCAGACAGAAGAGGCTGGCCTGGCCTGGCCTGGCCTGGGCTGGAGGGCTCCCATGTAGCACTAGGGAGCTGTGATAAAGGCAATGAGAAGCCTTGGGTGAAGAAAGGTCACAATCAGGTCCTTCCTTCCTTCCTACTTCCTCCTTCTCCCTCCTCTTTTTCCCTCCTTTCCTTCCTTTTTTGTCTTCCCTCCCTCCCTCTTTCCCTCCCTCTCTCCTTCACTTTTCTCCCACACCTTATTTGTCCTAGGCAAGTTTCTAAGACTGAGTTACAACCGAAGCCCTTTTTATTGCTTTTATTTTGAGACAGTGTCAAAATTGACTTGTCTGAGCTTCTCTGTAGCCTAGGCAGACCTTGAACTCAGGATCCCTCTGCCTCAAGCTCCTGAAGTAGCTGGGATTACAGGCCCATACCACCGGGGCTGACTTCTAGATTGGGTCTTAGAGTCAACCTGAAAGATGAGGTTGTCCCAGGGAAAGCTAGGAATTCTTCATATGGTCCATGGTTATTTGAGCACAGTTGTTGGCTGGGCCTTGGGAAGCCCGGCACACATAGGCAAGGCTGTTGCTGCAGCATCCTGGGGTTGGGTTCATCCAAGGCCAAGCACCAACTGCATCAGGGCCAGTACCTGGGTGCTGGTTCTCTCTGTGACTTCCAAGCCCAGCCCCAGCCCTCCGGAACCAGAGGCACTGGGGACGTGCAGCGCTACAATCTATAAGACGCTCAGAAGCAGGCAAGGCAGAAGGCCCCGGAGTTGCCTTCTGGGAGAGATTTTCATCAGGACAGCTGCAGGGTGAGCGGCCTCCAAGCAGAGGTGGTCAGCTGGCCTTGCACCACACCCAAGGACCTCCCGGGACACTGCAAATGCAGGTGGTTTGCTGCAGTCTCGTCTCATTAGCTCTGGAGAACTATGTACTGTGACACCTAAGTCCTCATAAGCAATAGTGTGGTGTAGCCAAGGTGTATGTGGCAGTGGAGGGGGTGTGGAGTGGGGAGACTCCAAGGGCAGACTCTGCTGCCTCAGACTTGCCTGTTCCACACAGCCCTCTTTACACACACACACACACACACACACACACACACACACACACCTGACATATTTTTCCTGCTAAGCTCTGTGCTGAACACTGAGACACTACCATGTTTCTCCCCCAACTCCCAGGTGTTTAATCTGGAGAAATTTGTTTGAGCATCTCTGGGCTTATAGAGCACTTTCCAGCTCCCACTGGCTCACCAGCTCACTCACCAGCTTACCAGGAGCAGAGCATCTTCAGGTTGCAGATAACTAAGCTAGAGGAGTCTCCTGCTGCCTGATTTTTCTGACTGGAGTCCAGGAGGAGGAACTGTCTCAAAGTTGCAGTCTTAAGAGCCAGAAATGGCTGAGGACATGGCAGAGGCGACTCTCCTAGATTTGCTTGTGAGTCTGGAACACTGTGTGGGCAGCATGGAAGACTGAACTTGAGGGGGTCTTAGGGGAACAGAGCCTGAGATGTCAGTGTGTGAACTTTCAGAGGAAGAGGGAGGAGGAGAAGGGGAGGAGGGGGAGGAGAGGAGGACACCAGAAGTTACATTGAGGCCCAGGTGTGTGTGTGTGTGTGTGTGTGTGTGTGTGTGTGTGTGTGTCCATCCAGGGTTACACAAACTCTCTCATGCACATAGTTAAATAATATAGACATATATACACACTCACATGCACACAGAGACATAGACACACACTTTAAAAACACAAAGAAAATTTAGCATGCACATGTATAATACATACATATACATATAGATGATGCATAGATACACATACTTTCTTACTGACACACAGACATGCTTTACTGGACACATAAAACAGTGACCACACACACAAATAAACACACAGCTCTGTATACATCTATGACCCCAATTTCCCTTTTACATACAGCTTCGCATCTCAACCTGAGTGTAGTTTATTGATTCTTCAGTATTAAAAAATGTATTTCTGCATTTTTAAACCACAATTCTTGCTCAGGATATCCTAATCCTTAATATCAGATGATTTGCAGTTGACATGAGATGGTAGGGTGGTTTTTCTTCCTATTTGTTATAATCAATACATCATTTGTAAAGCCTTTAATAGAGATAAATGAAGATCCGCTTTTACCTCATCGTAAAATGGCCACCCTTGCCCCTTGAAAACAAGCTTTGTCAGTCAGTCTATAGATTCTGCTGGAACAGGAAGCTCCCTTCTAAATCAGTGCGGCTTGTCTTGTGAGTGGTTCTCCTAGGAACTTGCTTACATGGCTCAACACTCTAGCCCCCACCCCATAGAGCTCCTGTTCCACTCAGCTGATGGGACAACATGGGCTCCTTCCCACAAGGATGTACCCATATCCTCAGAAACGCAACTCTGTGAATTTGCCCTGTCCACATTAGTGGACAGAGGTGTACATATGTGTGGATCCACTAGAACATGCATGCTTAGATATATGTACACTTCTTCTAGTGCGTACAGAATCTGCCTATATATATTTTTTCATAGGCTCCTGTAACCCACATACACCTTGCTCTGTGTGTGTGTGTCTGTCTGTCTGTTTGCATAAGATGCCAGAGATGCAGACTTTAAATTTTACTGAGGAATGGGTAACAATTATTTGGAGCTGTGTATTTTTAACTTCGGCGTCTAAGGTTTAATTAAACAACTTATTTTTGCCCCTGCGGCCTTATGCTGCATTTCCTGGGAGACCAGCAGGTAAGGTGTTTGGCACCGGGAATGACACCAGCAGGTGACACAGAACAGGCACAGGAGGTTCCCTTCATTTGCTACGAGAAGGGAACCCCCAGGGACCTAAAGGTCAAAGAAAGTTCTGGAGCTCGTAGATAGAACAGGTTTAGAAGTCAGAGCCAAGGGCTGGAGAGCCGGCTCAGCTGTTAAGAGCCTATATTGCTCTTGTAGAGAACCTGAGTTCAGTTCCCAGAACCCACATCTGACAGCTCACGAGGGCCTGTAACTCTGACTTCAGGGGTTCTGACCCCTTCTTCTGGACTTTTGGAGAGCACCTGCAAACATGTGTGCATAGACCCATATATACAGAATTTTTTTAAAAAAGAGGGAGAGAGAGAGAGATCTTTTAAAATTAAAGCCATCAGAAGGTTAACACTGTTTTAGAGAGGGAGAGGGAGGGAGAGGAGAGGGAGGGGAAGAGAGGGAGGGGGAAGGAGGAAGGGAGAGAGGGCGGGATTTTAAAGTTAAAACCATCAGAAGGCTAACAATGTTTGTCTTCCAGAAAACCCACTGTGAGCATCTTCAAGGCCAAGAGCTAGTCTGCAGTAGAGGGCTCCTCTTTCTTCTGAGATGGTCCCTGTAAAACAAGCCTTGTTGAACCGAACCATTAACAGGAAAGCGGACCCATGGGAGATGCAGGGCAAGGGCTTTGTGACCTTCTGCCATGAGTCATATGGGAGAACTAGCTTCTCTCTGACCCTCAAAAGCTGTTCCAGTCAGGGCCACTAGAGACTCACACATGGAAGAAATGTCACCCCTGCCTGGTGCCCTTCTAACGAATGGACAAGCAATAAAAAACTCAGAAAAGACCTGGCCTTACATAAGATCCAGCACAGCTGGCAGCCATTGGTGTCAGGCATGACTCTGAACCAGAGCTGTGTGACCTCAGTCTGTTAGCTAAACCTGGCTTCCCTTCCTCCCCAGAGAGGCCTGTCACACAGGCATACATGAGGCTGTCGGGGTTCCTCAGAGGGGCCTACAATATGTGACAAATAAGTCTTTGAAGATGGCCCTTGTCTGAGACTTGCCGTTCACATCAAAAGGAGGCCACTTGTTCAAGTATGGGGAAAATGGGTTACAGTGCCTAGAACACTGGTATTTACAGAGCTTTTTAGGAAAAGTGTTTATTTTTATGTTCCTACCACCCATGTGAAGAACACACAGGGCCTTTTAATTCTGTAGAGAAATCAATGAGGCCCTGGAGGAGGGTTGTTTTCTTTGCTTCAAAGCCACACAACCAGCATATGGAGCTAAACTCAAACCCAGCCTGGGGCTGTGCTTTCTTGACCCAGAACATTCCAAAGGAGTTCAGACTCCAGAGGATAGCTTTATAAACCCTCTCTGGGTGGCATGGAGAGATTGAGCCCCCTCAGTCAGAGTGTGGCCCCAGACTCTACCCGAGTGTACTTTGGAATCAACCTAACTGATTCAAACCATAAGTAAGGACCCGTGAGAAAGTAAAAGATCCAGAGGAAAGGCAGAGCCGGCGACGGCCCTCTGCTGTCACAAAGTAGCTGTGGCATTGCAGGAGGCTTACATAGGTGTGGGAAATCGCCATAGGAAGAAGCCATGTCACCCCCGAGAGAGATCTTCCTAGGATGCAGCAACACATTCATCCTTAAAGTCAAGCTCAGAGAAGTCACGCCAGCTGAGTAGACTCGAGTCTCATTGCTGGGAAGTGTCCATGACCCCAGCCTGACCTGGGATAAGGCAGAGCTCCATTCTCCTCAGTAAGGGTAATGCAGCCACTTCATTATTGGCTTAATATATCCTTTGATGGGTTAGACCTGCTGGGCTGGCCTGGAGTATTAGCTGGGTTAATTGGCCCTTCAAATGAACAACCAGTTTAATCAAGGAGGTAATGCCTTCAGCTATTCAATTATGCCTACCTCTGGACATGCGGCTTCCATTCCTGCCCCAGCACCCTGGGAGCAGAGGAAGGGAGAGTGAAATCTGCCAGTGCGCGTGCACACTGCAGTGTGTGCATCCAGTCGTTGTTCACAGGAGGTGAACTGGAGCAAACTGGAGTCAGCTGAGACTGTCAGGCCAGCATCCAACCTTGGCTGTCGGCTGTGTGGTCTCACCTTCCAGCTACGACCAGCTCTGCTAAAGGGGGTTTGCAATACTCGTCAGCAAATGGGGTGTGTGTTTGAAAGAGTGGAGAAGGGGAGACAGGGAAGGAGGGAGGGAGGGAGAGAGAGATATACAGAAAGAATCAAAGACACAGAGAGACTGAAACAGAGACCAAGAGTAAGAGTGAGGGACGAGATCTCTGTGGTGTTAAATGAAACTATTTATGTCAATGTCAGACCATGAAGACCCACATTCACACCACACACACACACACACACTCACACAAACACACATTTGCATTAACCACTGTTTATCTTATAAACCCCTCCTATTTACGCCTAAGCTTCTCACAGAACTATATTTAAATCCTCATTCTCCACTCAGTTAGGAGGCTGGAGAGATGGCTCAGTGGTTAAGAGCCCAAACTGTCTCTCCTAGTTAGGGTTTCTATTGCTGTGAAGAGACCAAGGCAAGACCATGACCAAGGCAACTTTTATAAAGAGAAACATTTCACTGAGGCTGGCTTGTAGTTTCAGAGGTATGGTCCATTGTCATCTTGGCAGGGAAAATGGCAGCATGCAGGCAGACATGGTGCTGGAGAAGAAGCTGAGGGGTTTTCATCTTGATCTGCAGGGAGCAGAAGCAACTGTGATACTGGGGGCCAACCCCACAGTGACACGCTTCCTCCAACAGTTACACCTCCTAATAGTGCCACTCCCTATGCGGGTAGTTTTGTTTCAAATCACCACGCTGTTCTTCCAAAGGACTGGAGTTCAACTCCCAGCACCCTTATCTGGCAGCTCACAGCCTCCTAGTCCTCTGGCTCCTCTGGCTTCAGAATAACTGATATCCTGTTTTGGCCTCTGAGGGGCATCTGCACTCGTGTGTGATAGATAGATAGATAGATAGATAGATAGATAGATAGATAGATAGAT